TGTCATTTTTTTTAACCTTTAAATTCGACATAACATTAAATGGCCGAATATCTTAAAACGAATGGTATATATATTTACTAATTCTTAAATTCGTTACAACGAATAAAATGTGTTGTAATACAAATTTGAAAAAAATAACCTTGACAGATTGAATTACTAGTACAGGATCGGGTCCTTGATTTTTTTTTCGAAGTGTGCGTGTGTGTGTGTGTGGGGGGGGGGGGGGGGGGGTCCAGTTAAAAAAAAATTCCTACCTAGAATTGATTTGACAAGCCAAACATAATAGTAGATGTGTTTGTGAAATACTGATGCATCCATAGGAAAGCTTATGGCATGGGCTGAATCTTCTCAAATGCAAGGAATACGTCTGTGAAATATATAAACCCTTTATCTACCTATCAACCTTGACCTTAGAATTTTACACTTATTCAAAACTTTAACCTTGATCATAACTTTTGAACAGTTACAGTAGGGCTTTCGTATTTCACATGTGTATTCTTCGTGACAAGTCCTTCCTTTGGATACCAACATTTTTTTTATTTGTTTTTTTTTTTTACCTCAACCTTTGGCGTTTGACTTGCATCTGAGACACAAACACTTCTTTATGGCAAGCAGTATTGCTATTTATTCGAAAAATTATATTCATCTTGAAATTACAGAGATATCTCTCATTTTAGAAAGATACCTCTTAACAAGAGGCCCATGGGCCTTATAGGTCACCTGAGCATTATGCAACAACTTTCCAGTTATTGAATTTGATTCATGTTTTAAGCAAAATGCTACAGCATTCAAAATTTTGAAAGAGGCACCGTTGATCATCATAACAATACACTCAGCAGTTGCTTAGCTTGGTTACTTAATACCTTTAGGCAGAGTAGGGGAATAAAAAATGCATTTCAACTTATCGGTAATATTCAGTAATAATCAGTAGTGCCCATACCACACAAACCCCTGACCCTTGGGCCTAGATCCACACACTGTACAATTTTTGAAAAGGCATCCTTGCTTTTCAAAAATATTTGATTAATATCAAGGAACAGATTTCAAACAATTTCATACCACACATGAACCCCTGACCCTTAGGCTTAGATCCACACACTGCACAATTTTTGAAAAGGCATCCTTGCTTTTCAAAAATATTTGATTAATATCAAGGAACAGATTTCAAACAATTCATTCATTTTCAGTAAAGTACAGCCCCCACCCTCTATGGTACCCCTGATCCTGAAGCCTTGAAATTCACAATTCTGCAAGATTAGGGCCCTTGCTCATCATAACTATATAGATAGTTCATCTGCTTCATACCCAGAGACAGAGAAGAAGATTTAATGCATTTTCACTATATAATCAATAGAGCCCCACCTAACACCAGAACCCCTGACCCTGGGGCCATAAAATTCACGATTTTGGTAGAGGCACTCTTGCTCATCATAACTATGCACTTAGTTAGTTTATTTAATACCCAGGAGCAGAGAAGAAGACTTTCAAAGAATTCTTGTATTTTCACTATATAATCAATAGAGCCCCGCCCTAACACCAGAACCCCTGACCCTTGGTCCATAAAATTCACAATTTTGGTACAGGCATTTTTGCTCATCATAACTATGCATTTAGTTAGTTCTATTTAATACCCATGAGCAGAGAAGAAGACTTTCAAAGAACTCACGTATTTTCACTATATAATCAATAGAACCACGCCCTAACACCAGAACCCCTGACCCTGGGGCCATAAAATTCACAATTTTGGTACAGGCACTCTTGCTCATCATAACTTTACACTTAATTAGTTTATTTAATACCCAGGAGCAGAGAAGAAGATTTTCAAAGAATTCATGTATTTTCACTATACAATCAATAGAGCCCGGCCCTAACACCAGAACCCCTGACCCTGGGGCCATAAGATTGACAATTTTGGTAGAAGCACTCTTGCTTATCATAACTATGTACTTAGTTGGTTTATTTAATACCAAGGAGCAGAGAAGAAGATTTTCAAAGATATAATGCATTTTCACTATATACTTATTTAGCCCCGCCCTAGCACTAGAACCCCTGACCTTAGGGCCATGAATTTCATAATTTTGGTAGAGGACTCAATGCTGATTACAATCATGCAAACAGTTTGACTGCTTGATGTCCAGTAGTAAAGAAGAAGATTTTTAAAGATTGCATTAATTTTAGTGGTTTTGGCCCCACCCCTCTGGCCCCAGGGGGGCAAGGATCATGAAATTCATAATTTTTGTTCCCCTCCACCCATAGATGCTCTGTGTCAAATGTGGTTGAAATTGGTTGAGTGGTTGCAGAGAAGAAGCTGAAAATGTTCAAATGTTAACGCACGATGGACGACGCATGACGACGGACGAAAACGGATAGCAATAGGTCACCTGAGTTTACTCAGGTGACCTAAAAATAGAGATACCTCTTAACTTACAGAGATATCTCTTACACTAAGAGAGATATCTCTTCCACCTTAAAAGATATCTATTTCACCTTGAGAGATACCTATTTTGTTAAAAGAAATATCTCTGAACATTAAAGAGATATCTTTTTCACCTATAGAGATATCTTTTTCACCTAGAGAGATATCTCTTCTACTTTGGGAGATAGCTCTTAAAGTAAAAGATTGATTGATTGTTTGTTGTTAAACGTCAGATATCTCTCAAAGTAAAACATTGACTGATTGTTGTTTAACGTCCCTCTCGAGAATTTTTCACTCAAATGGAGATGCTACCGCTTGCCGGTGGAGAGCTGCAAATTTTGTCCTATACTCGGCACTCTGGGCCATTGAGCAGGGTGTGGTCTTTTTCGTGCCAACACCTACTGCGACATTGGACCTCAGTTTATAGTCTCATCCGAAGGACCGGTCTCCACGTCCCACCGTGGGATTCGAACCCGCGACATAAGGATCAACTCTTACTTTACGACTACAAAGCAGACGCTCTAAGCACTGCGTCATGCGGGCGACTTCAAAATAAGAGATATAATTCTCTAAGTTTACCTCAAGAGATATCTCTCAAAGTGATAAAGATATCTTAAAAAGTGTCCAAAAGAGATATTTCTCAAGCAAATGACTTACCGTAAAAAATCTCTTCATTAATTTTATTTAAATTGTATTTTAGATGAATTCTCCTTTTACCATGTTTACCGGAAGTAAGCTTTTTAATCATGGATATACATTAAAATATTGTTAAATTTCGACCTATACTAGTATTCTATATTATACGAGGGTTTTCCGCTAAGTTCGTGGACAAAAATTTAAGTAAAAAATGTATCATTGATATTTACTTTTAGCATATTTATAACCTTTATTAATTGCGATTTACAAAATGTAAAATTATATTCAATTTTACATGTATAATTACAATTATGGCTTCATTATTAGACTTGAGATGGTTACCCGGAGCACCGTAAAATTTCAAATAAAAATTATTTATCACTTTATATATTTAACTTGTATTTTGTAAATTTCCGCGGAAATTTGGATGGCTATATATATTACATTAGGAGGTTGTCAATTTGATAACAACAAACCTACAAAATCTGAACGTTCCAAGTTTCGAAATGACTGAGAAATCGAGGTTAGAATCATATAGACAGGATCGGCACTGTTCGAAAAAAGGACGTTTTCGGGAAAGGTTGAGCAGAGAGTAGAGTTAAAAATCTGCTTAGACATCGATAAAAAAAAAAACAATAGAGACACACAAACTCTTTAAACAGTCGGGAAAACATAGAAAAGGAAGCCGTTCTTTAGCATATAAGATATTCGGAGGGAAGAACGGTTTACAGGATAACATGCTTGACAGAAGTCCATCATTCCGAGTGTTGTGCAGTGTTGGAAAAAATGAATTTCGTAACGTGACTTTGCCGCATTTCCGTAAAAAAAAAAGTCGTTTTACGCTGACAGAGGTTTGATGATTTGCAGGATCTTAGACAGGAAGCGTTAAATATTATTTCATATATGAAACCTGAACAGTTTGTGAGCATTTTTGATTACTGGATAAAGCGACACAAGAAATGTATAGAGTTAAACGGTGACTATGGTGAGAAAAGTTATATGCATTAAGCTTTTGATGTCGGGTAACGTTAACGTCAAGAATGTTCGTTTTAGGCTTCGGGTATGAGTGTGTGTCTTTTTTGTATCTATATTTATAACTATGATGCTTTGTGTTTGTTAGAAACTTGCATATTAATATAATTAAACATGAAATTAATGAAAATAGCAGTTTCAAATATTTTAACAAATGTTTGTCAATAGTTATAAATGTTGTCCATGGACTTTAAACAACCATCGTAACAAAATATGAAATTAAAGTAAATTAGTGTTGTCTAGACTTCATATTTGTAACAGTTGATTATTTCATAATCTGAGAAAATTCGGTCCACTGAGTTGAGAGTATATGCCAACTTTTGTTTTCCTGAATTTAAGGTTTATAGCATATTTATTGATCATCGAAGTTGTCTTAATCCTTTTGTTGTTTCAAACAAGGGATTTTTTTTTGTCTTTACAAGGTACATATATTATTCTGGAGATTACATGCTCAGTCTTTTTCTCAAAACATTAAAATTATTCCAGAGACTTTACTTCCTGTCCCACTTTTGTATGAAAGGGGAGAATTAATTATTTTAAGTAAAACTGAAAAAGAACTATCTCTTTCATTAAAAGAGATAGAGATATCTCATAAACTTAGATAAATATCTCTTTTTTTAAAATCTAGAGAGATACCTCTCCAAGTTAGATATCTCTTGTATATGTAACCTATAAAGAAATCTCTCTTAGTCAAAGAGATCTTTTTTAGTTATATCTCTTGATCTAAAGAGATATCTCTTGAGCTATATAGATATCTCTTTACGCTTATTAAACAGATATCTTTCTTATTCAAATAAATTTATAGAAATTTTTTATTTCACAAATAAATAGTAAAAGGGCTTGCCATACTTCATATAACTATATTTATATTCCCTCCAACTTTAATTGATGAAAGATTTTAATGAGCAAAACAAAATGTCAGTGTAACACTTTTTAATATATTTCTAATTGATTACTAAATATATAATTATATACATAACATATTAAGTACGTAATGTACAAATAATTATTAGGGGAATGACTTGGGGGTTCTGTGTTAAGGAGCATCAAAATTTTCACATATTCTCTCTAAACTTGCAGCACTACTCTGAAATCATAACGGTTTTGCAAACATTTTCAAATCAAAAAGTTAACTGTACAGCTACATGTAGAATGATTGCAGTTCTAGTCATCACAGTCTAAAGATGAGTGTCAACATTAACATACACTATAAAAGTAAGTTAAATCCACACATTCATTCACTTCTAATACTTCATAACACACAGTGTAGTTATATTTTCATCTAAAACGTAAATATAACATCCACACATTCATTCTTTCATTTTTTCAAATTCAATTTTCTCCCGTGCACAGTGAAGTTATATTTTCATCTAAAACGTAAATATAAAATCCACACATATATTCTTTCATCTTTTTCAAATTCAGTTTTCTCCCATACACAGTGAAGTTTTATTTTCATCTAAAACATTTCTGCATGTGGTCTTTTTGGCTGTTTTGCACTTCCAGCTAAGTGAACCAGGAAATCTGTGAATCCTCATTGGAAAAAAAATTGTATCAGCTTTACACTAGGGTATTGACAGTTAAGCTTTACATAGGGACACTCAATTAACTGCAGAACTTGGCAGAAGTACGCTTTAGTTACATGTAAATTAGGGTACTCAATTGAGTCCCTATATATATACTCTACAATGGGGAACTCAATTTACCGTAGCCCTATTCTTTTCATTGGGGCACTCAATTAACTGCAGAAGTATGATTTATATTTGGGGTACTGAATTACATGTATCTGTGGCCCTGTTGGTTTTTTTTTTTTTTAAGTTTAGACCAGATATTAGGACATATAAATAAGGAGTATCCTTGCTTTACGTACAGTAAAGGTCAGGTCTTACTTAGAGGTCAAAAGTCAGATTTTTCTTAAAGGCTCTCTGAAGCTTAGTGAACTTAACAACACAGAAGTCAATTTCATATAAATGACCACACTTAGTGTTTACAAACACAACATTCTTATCTTTTATCTTCGCTCAAAGCTTAATTCCTGTGTTTTGTACAACCACAAACTTTTACACACATTTTCATTCTCAAACACATAATTATCACAAGATTTGCACCCAACCAGTAACATCTCAATCACAGCCTTGAACTGGGCAACACTTTTAAGAAGTAAAATTTCCCATCAGATTCACTCATTCTCATCCTTCTGCACTGCACCTCACTTTTCTAGAGACCGTGATTTATCCAAACAACGGACAATAAGTACTTGGTTTGTTTCTTTTGGCCACTAAATGTTAGGAATAATTCATAGTTATATTTATACAAATGTCTGCTTGGGGTCTATGTCTAAGGGAATTCCCAGCCTCCTTCTGGTTTGTGGCGAGAAGTCGGAATACAGGTAATCTCCACCAGACGTGTCCGGCCTCCTACTGACGGATTCTCCCTCTTGCACATCACCCCCCTTAGTCTTTCCAGGGTCTACATTTTTGTCCTCTGATCCTTTAACCACTGACCCTGCCATGTCACCTTCACAGCTGTCACCAAGAACTATCCCCAGTCTGTCTCGTTCTGCCCTCTCCTGTGCCAGGGAGGATAACTCTTCCTCCACTACAGGGGCAGATAACTCTGGTCCTAGGAGAGAAATCTCTTCCTCCACTAGTGGTGCTCTCCCTTCCATAGGAGGGTAGACATTTTGGTATTTTTCAGCTGTGGGAAGATTCTGTTTGTGTCCTGTTTTCTGATTGGTTGTTTCAGGTGTTTCTGAACTTGTTGCTATGGAAGCCTCGTGACCAGACAATGGGGACACGTACATGTCCTCTAACCGTCGTTCCCATGGAGACTCCTCCTCTGTCTGTATTGACCAAAACAATGTTTATCAAAACGCAATTTAAATATTTTTAATTTAGAGTTAAGGTCACAATAAATAATTCAGTGAAATCTGTCTAATCCGACAAGTACTGGGAGATGTGTTTTGTGTCAGAATAGAAAGGGTGTCAGATGGCACAGTGTAAAATACATGGAGAATAGTTAAATTGGAAAGAAAGTTAATGTCATTATTAACAGTGTTTTGGATTGCACAGGTGTCGAATAAAACAGTTTTCACTGTAGTTGTTGAACTTCCTGAAAATGCTGCTTATTTCATTTAAAATATAAAAAGATTTTCTTTTAAAAAAACTTATAAATAGTGAGATTTTTTTTTGACTTTATTTTTTTTAACTTGAGACACAGCTGTTGCAATTTAAATGTTACACATACCACTCTTTCTTGTCTTTGGAACATGGCCCCGTGTGTAAACGTTTCCTCTGACTCTGAGGGGCTGTTCACGTGGCTGTAGTTAGGGGGCGGGTTGTCAGACAGGGGGGTAGTCGTCCCATCACCATGGTAACCACGGTCCCCGTTCTGGGACTGTAGGATGTGGAGAATCATGGCAATGTCTGAGTTCATTTTGTTCTCTAGCCTTGTCAGTTGTCTGTGAAATTGAATGAGATTGAAATCAATTAACTGTATATTGAAGATATTTTTACCGAAAAATAATATCATATATTGAAAACTTTTAATTGTAATAGCATCCCCCTCTTTCAGTAAACTGTCCCCCCCTTTCTTACCTGGCCAGATCCTCCATTCTTCTCTCCATTTCCTGGGAGTGCTGGGATTGCTCGTAGTGACTGAAAGACGGTCGTGGAATGAGGGTCCCGTTCTCCCCAGAGTGACGGAGGTCGTCTGATAGGGGGGAGGGGGTGGAGACAGGAATCGTCATGGAGGACGTAGACTTTGGCACACTGGAACTCGATTGTCTTTTTGGCTGTAAAAAAAAATGAAATTGTTCATTTTGTTGCATAAGTATGATTGTTTGCAAAATGCTAGATCTTTCTTTTTTTATAATATGAGGAGTCATCTGAACAGCTGTTGGACATGCATCTTTCTCTCGCACACTTGCTTGTTTTTCCAAAATCAGCTACTCACCTCAGGTTTGTGTTTGTTTAAAAGGAACATGTCAAGGTTGCCTTCGTACAATCATTTACCCACCCTAATTTTTACATTCCTCTACTAATAGAGGGGTCATGTCAACATCACCTTTGTATGATCACTCTGAGTTGAAGTTCCTACATTTATTTAGTAGATGGGTCATGTCAAGGTCGACTTTTCACAATCAATTAATTACTCTGAGCTTTCTAGTAGAGGGTCTGGTCATGTCCGTATCACCTTTTTACAATCAATTTCTTACCCTTGCTTTGTGTTCCTTAAGTAGAGGGGTCAAGTCCAGGCCTTCTTTCAACAATCATGTTATGTCAAGGTCATTTTTCCACAATCATGTCAAGATCACTTTTCTTCTATCAGTTATTTTCCTGAGTTTTGTGTTCCTCAAGTAGAGGAGTCATGTCATGGTCATTTTTCCACAATCATGTCAAGGTCACCTTTTTACGATTATGTCAAGGTCACTTTTCTACAATCAGTTATTTACCTGAGCTTTGAGTTCCTCTAGTAGAGGGGTCATGTCAAGGTCACCTTTCTACAGTTGTGTCAAGGTCACTTTTCTTCTATCTTTCTTTACCTGAGCTTTGTGTTCCTCTAGTAGAGGGGTCATATCCGGTTCACTAGACTTCCCGCTGTCACAGCGACCTGTCACAGCACTGACAAGGTTATTGACATTGGCAAACGCGCCTGTAAAAATGATACATCAACAGTAATGTTTGAATTTTTCTTCTTATATTATTGAAAAACAAGAGGCCCAAGGGCCTTGAATCGCTCCTCTGATAAATTGTACAATCTATCACTTCTATTAGAAGCCTCCAACTCTATTAGTATCATAAGACCCAAAATGCATCAACTTACAAAGTTTGATTATATTTAGCCAGTTAAGACTGAAGATATAATATAATAATAAAATACCATAAAGTAGGTCACAGTGACCTACCTTTTGATTGAAATTTTCTGAGGACTCAAGATACATAAATTGACAAAGACTGATGAGTACCTGAGATATTCAAAAGTAGGTCACCATGACTTACTTTTTGGTCAACATTCTCTGAAAACCCAAGATGCATCATCTTACAAAGTTTGACCATTCTAAGCCAATTAGTACCAGAGATAATTAAATATAGCCAACAAATGTCAAAAGTAGGTCACGGTGACCTACTTTTTGGTCGACGTTATTCAAAAACCAAAAATGCCTAAACTGACAAAATTTGAAGATTCTAAGCCAATAAGTACTCGAGATATTCAAAATTAGGTCACCGTGACCTACTTCTTGTTGGACATTCAATGAAACCCTAAGATGCCTCAACTGACAAAGTTTGATAATTTCGAGCCAATAAGTACCAGATATAATTAAATATAGCCATAAAATGTCAAAAGTAGGTCACAGTGACCTACTTTTGGGTCGACATTCTCCGAAAACCCAAGGTGCCTAAACTGACCAAGTTTGGTGATTCTAAGCTAATACATACCTGAGATATTCAAAAGTAGGTCACCGTGACCTACTTTTTGGTCGACATTCTCCGAAAACCCAAGATGCCTCAACTGACAAAGTTTGATGATTGTTAGCCAATTAGTGCCTGAGATACTTAAATATAGCCATAAAATGTCAAAAGTAGGTCACTGTGACCTAATTTTTGGTCGACAATCTCTGAAGACCCAAGATGCATCAACTGACAAAGTTTGATCATTTTAGGTCAATAAGTACCAGAGATACTTAATTTTAATCACAAAAGGTCAAAAGTAGGTCACCATGACCTACTTTTCGGTCGTAACTCTCTGAAAACCCAAGATGCATCAACTCACAAAGTTTGATCATGCTAAGCCAATTAGTACTGGAGATACTTAAATAAAGTCATAAAATGTCAAAAGTAGGTCATCGTGACCTACTTTTTGGTCATAACTCTCCGAAAACCAAATATGCATCGACTCACAAAGTTTGAAGATTCTAAGCCAATAAATACGTAAGATACATAAATATAGCCATAAAATGTCGAAAGTAGGTCACCGTGACCTATATTTTGGTCGACATTTTTCAAAGACCCAAGATGCATCTACTGACCAAGTTTGATGATTGTAGGTCTGAAGGTAATCAAAATATGCGATTTAAACAATTTGAAAACAAAAGTCAGCAAAATTCAAAAAGTAGGTCACAGTGACCTACTTTTTCATAAATATGTTTTAAAGTCCCAAGATGCATCAAAGTACAAGATTTGATGATTCTAAACCTCACAGTGTCTGAAATAATGGGATTTAATGTTTTTAAAAGGATAAGTCATAAAGTTCAAAAAGTAGGTCACGGTGACCTACTTTTAAGTTGACAGTGTTCGAGGACCCAAGATGCATCAACTGACAAAGTTTGATGATCATAGGCCTTAAAGTGTCCAAAATATGCCTTCAAATCAATTTGAAAACAAATCCCTGCAAAATTTAAAAAGTAGGTCACCGTGACCTACTTTTGAGTTAACATGATGTGAAGTCGTAAGATGCATCAACTTACAAGATTTGATGATCCTAGTCCTTATAGTAAGCAAAATATACACGTTTTTATTAATTGTAAATTTAGGTCAACTTTGAAGTGACCTTGAGACCACGCCCTTTGCCCCAGGGTCATGCCTTGAACAATTTTTAATCTTCAACATATCCTAATCCTTGTATGTAAGTTTGGTGAAAATCTGCCTGGTGGTTCTGGAGAAGAAGATTTTTTAGCAACCAGTACTTTTGGTTTTGTTTTCCTGATTATCTCCCCTTGTTTTAGGGTCCCAACCCTTATTTTAGTATAAATGGTAGCCCTTGGGCCAAGGATACCCTGTGACAAATTTGACACTGATAGGCCAAGGGGTTCTTGAGTTATGGCCCATATTCTAAAAAGTTAACGCACACCGCACACCGCACAAATGGCCATAGCATTAGCTCTTTGAGCCTTTGGCTCAGAAGAGCTAATAAATGTAAGTCAACATTTTTACCTAAGTTTTTTTTTTTTTTATATTTTCAAAGAACTTAGAAGCATACATAACAAAAATTCTATATAGAGTCATACTTCATTTTCTAAAACTCAATGGAACCAAGAAAGTATTTTGAGATATCCAAGGATGTAGAAAATGAATACTCTCATACATAAATATAGTTGGGACTTCTAAGTGCCTTTGACCTATCTATGGAATTAAATATAGACAATTCATGTATTTATGTCCATAATAACAAAATCCGACTGTAAGTGCATTTGAACACCTTTACAAAGGTTAAACACAAAATATCCTATAATTGTAAACGAGAATATAACAGAAACTGACCTGCGATAGAGGAGAAACCAGAAGTCTGTTTCCTGTCCTCTTTCCTATTAAACTCGGAAAATGTCGCAGGTGTGACATCCATCCCCGCCTTGGCTGGGGAAAATTCCAGGATCCCTGCCCCACTTTCTCGGATCTCCTCATCAGAAGAATCCTCAAAGGACATTGACACTGTCGGCCCGTCCTCGCTGAGTTTGTCACGACGAAGACGCCTCGATCTCGATGGTTGGAATTTGTATTCGTGTGAAACGTCATCGCGACCTATCAGAAAATTGGTCATATTTTTAGTACTATGTAGATAAAATAATGTTTTATTTTAAATCTCCACCTAATGAACTATGACATGATATTTGATTGAAACTTCTTTGACAAACTTGATTATTTTTTTTTGAGAATTAGTGGCAGATAAGTATTAATGAAGGACTCTCAGACTGTATTAATTACCTGCACTCCCTGTATCGGAGTGGTAAGATCGTATATTTTTCCGTCTTCTCAGTGCGTTCGCCCTTCCCATGTCCGTCTCCTCTCGCCATTGATCCAAATCAACCTGACAGTAAAATATTCAGATATACAAAGCTGATATTAATTTCAAAAGATATTTTATTATAAAGATCATCACTTTGCATGCAATTCAGAATTTAAAGCACAATTTCAAACATCTCAAATGATGTGATGTTAATAATGCCATGTTGACTTTCGAAATTAAATAAGTTCCTTCCTATGGTCACATGTACATGTAAGGCTCATGCAAAATTACAAGCCTATTTCTACATAAGCTGCAGATGAAGAGGTCGGTAACAAAATAATATAAAATCTGACTATACACTTACATCGCGGAGGTCAAAGGTGACTTCTAGATTCCTGACGAAGTGTTCGGTGAATTCTGGATACATGTCCAGGATTTCAAGTAGGTCGTCACGGTGAATCTTATGAAGGTCACAATAGGTCAGAGCTCGTACATTACAGCTGGACTTACCGACCGTCTCATAGCGACAAAGGTTCTCGCCAAATATGTCGTCTTTACCTAAAACAACAGGGTTTTCATTTCAGATTTACTGAAATACATGTGGAAGATGATAACTGTAAATGTATTATATTTAGCATGTACAATATTAGTCAGAAATTCCATTTTGAACAAGCTAGCGCAGATTTGAATTGGCGCATTTCGTAACATTCTCATAAATGTATATATGTGCAAAACATTAAGTTTTTGTTCTTGAATTAGCCGAAGTTTCTCTCTGCCAAAATCACTAAAAAGAATTAACTATTTTTATAATGTAAATAATGTTTACAGTAATTTCTAATAATTCAGGGTTAACATAATCTCCAGTCAAATGCAGTTGCTTTGTGTTAAAATCTGAATTATTTTCAGCACTTTTCATGCATTATTTGTTGGTTATTTGTCAGGCTTATTCATGATAACAAATAAAATATATATTAAAGTTTATCAGTGTTTTACATATGAATGAAACGTTCGTTTTTCATTAAAATACATTACAGGCATTAAGTACATTTTCAATATAAATTGGTATACTGTATCTTATTAAATTGATTTCTATAATTATAAAACATGCTCTTGTCCTACAATATTTAAGTTACAGAGCAAGCATGAAAAAAATACAATTATAATAAAGCTGATGCTTTTAGAGCGTTACCTAAAATAGCGACCACGATGTCATCCCTGAGGATTTCTATGGAGCCCCTGGACACAAAATACAGAGCCGTTAGTACGTCACCGCGGTGAACCAGGGTGTCCCCGGGGGGAACGTGTGTCGTCTTAAACTTCATAGACAAGGCTCTCAAACATCCCGGACTGGCCCCTGTAAAATAACCAAGAAATTTATAGGAAAAATGTCAATATTCAGCTCAACTTTAGGGGGTGTTTGAGAGGTTGCAATCTATCATTGGCACATAGAAATGAAAGATTCGATTGAGATATATCAATCCCATTGACAGTAATGCTTGTCTAAAGTGCCTTCATATATCAACAAGATAATTTTTTGTGCAAACTGGATAACTTACATTACATAATGCATATTGGAAGAAAATTGAGTTATTTCCCTTGCATGCATTATCAAGTGCATTTTTGAAGCTCTCTCTAACATTTGAGCCTCATGCTTCTGAATTCCTTTTCTACTTATTCGGTTTCCAAGTCTGCCCCATATATTCTCACCTTTGAATGCTGGGCAATTATTGATGAGGTTTTTATTGAGATGTAAACAGATGTCTGCCTGGAGGCATTCAGGAAAACTCTTCAACACCTGAAGAAAAAACATAGTAAATTATAAATGCCTCAACATATAAGGATATTCATACTAAAAAGTTTCTAACAGTGTCTAGTGATTTGTTTATCCTTCTTCATTAATATATCCTAATGTTTATACTCTACATGATGGTATTGTTGATTGTTATTATTGAATATTAAATCATTTCAAAATTCCATGACTGCCAATTGCCAACAATCATCATTTACTCCCTGAAAGTGTTAGCTAGCTATTACCAAAGTTTAATCTAAATATTTTTCCCTAATTACCATATTCATGTGATATTACATTAACCAATTATTGTCATAATTACCATACTGGTGTCTAATTACAATATTCATGTCTATAATTACTATATTCATGTCTATTCTAATTATCATATTCAATTATTCATGTCTATAATTAACATATTCATGTCTATAATTACCATATTCATGTCTATAATTACCCTATTCATGTCTAATTACCATATTCATGTCTATGCCGTTGGTGTAGGACCAGGAATGCTGGAAGTATTCCTCCAGTCTCTGTCGTAGCGGATTAGGAACCTGGTGAAATCGGATGAACTCCTTGATCCGTAACATGTGGACATGGTATCTGGATGTTCCGGAGTACAACCTCTGGATGATGGCGGAAACATTACCAAAGATACTGGCATACATTAGAGCTGGAAAATAAGGTCACTAAATAATTTATAATTTCCAGATGAGCAGCATTTTTTCCATACATATATATTTTTTATAGCACTATTCAATTTGTATTTCGGTTATTTTATACAACTGCTAGATTTTTAACAAAATATTATGGTAACAAAGAATGGTTTAAAGGTTGACAATTTTGGAATTTTAGAAATGTCGAGAGAAAACATTTTGTGTATAATATATTTAACATACTGCTCTTTGAATAGGATGGAGATGACTAAAATACAATGTCTCCATATACTGTAGAAACACAAATTTTCGTGGGCAGAAAATTTCGTTGTTTTGTCTTCAAAAATAAATTCGTGTGCATTTAATTTCGTTGTTTTAAAACTAACCCTATTCAATATATAGTCAGATAAAATTTCGTGTGGGATTTAATTTCATTGAATTTTGTTAACAACGAAATAAACGAAATTTAATCCCCCACGAATATTTGTGCTTTTACAGTAAATAAAATTTCATATTAATTCAGTCTGTATTTTGAGCTACACAACTGTGGTATCAATTAAGCCATGTCTAAAAGTTAGGTTAAGTTTTTCTCCTTCTATGTTTTTATGTCTTAGGAAGATACATATCATACCTTTTAAATGTATCAAAATCACAAATCAAAATTGGAATATGCACTTACACCCAATCAACATGATGAGGATGGAGAAAATTTTCTCCGAGTTTGTATTCGGGGACACGTTTCCAAATCCCACACTGGTAAGACTGCTAAAGGTGAAGTAAAGGGCCGTCACATACTTAGATTTGATGGTTGGCCCTCCTGTCCCATTTACATATTTCTGGTGAGTCTGTCGGGCTAGTTCGTCTAACCAGCCTATCTTAAGGTCTCCTAACATAGGGCGTTCCATGTTACCGATGGCGTACCAAATGCAGGCTAGCCAGTGAGCAATTAACGCAAAGACCAGCATGAGAAGCATTAGTACTGCAGCTCCATATTCTGAGTAGCGATCAAGCTTGCGAGCGACCCTGACCAGTCGTAATAAACGGGCTGTTTTTAGAAGTCCTATCAGTGTTGTTGTCTGAAATGAGAGAAATTTGAACCTTAAATACATCAGAATTATATTTTTTGGTACCAAAAAATGTTAAAAATCTAGACAATACTTTTAGAAACTTTTGTTTGCTTCTTAATACTTTTAAAAATTTGGTTTGGTTCAATAGAAAATGCCAGGGGATAGAAACTAAGCATCACTAAAGAATCTTGCATGTGTTGTTACAACAACTTGAAACAGATCTTATAACCCTTGGGAATATTTCCATGTTACTTTAAGTTTAACAAAGCAGATGCTAGGCAAATTAATGAATAGAAATGGTTCTAAAGCTAGCTATATAAGCTTAAGAAAAAATGTTGAAAAGACTTTTGCAAAAAATATTCTTACCTCATCTGTCTCAGATCCAAACAACAGGAGATCAAATGGTATGGCCGCCACCACGTCAATAAGGAACCACCCTTTGAAGTAGTGGACCATGATTTTACCCGGGTCACTGACCACCTCGTCGTTTTTGTTGACGTACGTCGTGCGGAAGTTGATCAGAATGTCCACAATAAACATGATGTCCACTATGAGGTCGATAATGGTCAGCGGATCACTGTATCGACTTTGGATGCTCTGATTGGAGGGCTTCTTCTTCTCCTCACTGAGGACAAACGCAGCAGCATAAGGGGTAAAGATGGCAGTGTAGATGACTAGGAGAAGGATTATCCAATCCCACACAGCCTTACAAAAGAAAATGATTAATATTTCATCCAACTAGCTGTAAGATACAATTCTCCAATTAAACATTCTCTAAAAAATTTGTTTAAAAGTACACTCAAACTTGGTTATCTCCAACCTGATGAGACTGAGAAAAAACTTTGAGATATCCAGGGATTCGAGATGTTGAGGGTATAAAATACTTAATGTATATTTGTTTGGGACTTCCACATCACTTTGACATATCCTTGGTATTCAAGATTTTAGAGTTCGAGATGCCGAAGTTCAGATATATGTGGCAAAAATAATATGCCTTACATTGCCATACAAATTACTAAGGCTATTGAGTAAATTGAAAAAGTGCTATGGAAGTGAGTAAGTTTTTATTCACTTACCTTGAATGGGGAGTAGTGTAGAATGGTGAACTTGTGTATCTTAGGGGACTGTAGCTTGTATTCAGGTAGCACATCTGCTCCAAGGGACAGAACCTAGAAAAACATCAATGAAAAAGGTGTTAAATTAACCAATGTATTGATTTCACATGAAATCAATACACACATGTACATACCTTTAAATTTAGACTTGATACAAAAATGGATTAATGAGAAAAAAATAAGTTAACAGTTATTTTAATATATACACATTTCTAAAATCCTATAGTATTTTAATTTTTTCATTAGATCTTAAAATATTTTTAAAAATCCATATATGAATAAAAGAATCTAAAACTGCATGGCAAAAATTTGCAGTTCAAAAAAATTTTTAACCTGCATATGTATTTCTTTTAAAAATCAACAGTACAAAACTAAGATGAGCTAATTGTATATTAATAAAGCATTTTTTTATACCTTAGTAGTAAGCAATGCTTATTCATCGTAAGTTAAGAGGAGTTGGCTTTATAAATAGACATATGATAGATACAGAGTAAACTTTTGAATGATCTACATCAGATCCAAAGTTGTTGATTTGCGTTCTCTAGAAAGCTTAATAACGTAAACAAAATTTCAAGATAAAATACAAAAAATATGAAAAGTAAACTAGAAAGCAATTGAAATGCTGATTATATCTTCAAACAAAATTGAGATTCATCTTCAAAGTTTTAAGGCAACAAATTCTGATGATAAGATGTAGTTAAACATAGGTAATCAGAGATTACAGAGCTCACCTCAACGAATGTTGTCTTTAAGTAAGGCAAAGTCACACAGTTAACCAACAAAAAGTGTACATTCCAAAAATGAAAATATTTAAGCAATTTTGATCTGATACTTTGAATAGACCTACATAAAAAATTTAAACTAGTTCTTCTTCATGAAAATGTAATCAAAATCCAGAATCTTAAATTTGAGAGTTTTCATCTCTTTATCCAACGTTTGTGCAAGTTTGGTTTATACAATGTTATGTAAGCCTTATAGTTTTTTGGTATTAGACTTGCACCCATAACTTTTACCTGGTCTATTATCTGAAAAATGCATATCGAATTCAGCATCCGAAGCAAGTCCATTAGTTTGCATCCTAAGATTTATAGTCCATGCAAGTTTGCTATTATATTCATAGTTAAATTGCAAATGAAACATGCATCAAAAACTAACATTTTTACTCATCCACAAAAAGTAGGTCAGATTCAGCATCTGAAGCAAGCCTGGTAGATGCATCCTTATATGCATTATCCATGCAAGTTTGGTCATTAAAGAATCATAGATACTTGGAAATGAATCATGCATTAACTTTATATTCACTAAACCGGAAAATGTAGGTCAGATTCAGCATCTGAAGCAAGCCTGGTAGTATGCATCCTTAGATGTATCATCCATGCAAGTTTGGTCAATATAGGGCTTATAGTTACTTGGAAATGAAACATGCACCAAAAACTTTATCCTGTTCGCTCAACTGGAAAATGTAGGTCAGATTCAGCATCCGAAGCAAGCCCAATTTGTATGCATCCTTAGATGTATCATCCATGCAAGTTTGGTCAACATAGGTCTTATAGTTACTTGGAAATGAAAAAATGCACCAAAAAATTTTAATAAATTCTGTTCATCTCAACTGGAAAAGTAGGTCAGATTCAGCATGAACAAATTTGCCCAATAGTATGCATCCTTAGATGTATCATCCATGCAAGTTTGGTCAACATAGGTCTTATAGTTACTTGGAAATGAAACCTGCAAAAAAATTTAACCTGTTCACTCAACAACGACAAAATGTACAGATTCAACGAAGCAAGCCCAATAGTATGCATCCTTAGATGTATCATCCATGCAAGTTTGGTCAACATAGGTCTTATAGTTAAATGTGGAAATGTTGCACCAAAAACTTTAACCTGTTCACTCAACAATTCAAAATTAGGTCAGATTCAGCATAAGCAAGCCCGATAAAGCTATCCTAGAATGTATGGTCCATGATAAGTTTGGTCAACATATATAGTTACTTGGAAATTTAAACCTACACCAAAAACTGCACCAAAAATGTTAACCTGCTCCAAAAACATTAACCTGGTCATTCCTTTCCTGAAATTGCAGCATCTGAAACTTTGAATGGTGCAATGAAACACACTAGAACCATCCTCCATGCATGTCTAATCCATATAGGACATAGAAGTAGTTAAAAAGAAAACTGCTCCAAAAAACTTTTGACTGGGTTGTCACGCCAACGCCGACACCGACACCGACGCCGATTTGTCTGCGGCAGCTGATTTTGATTTTTCGTATCAACTTCGTTGAGGTGAGCTAAAAAGCTGTTAGAAGAAAAATGTGGTGTTCAAATTTAAGATAGAACCACTTCAACAAATCAAATTCTGATGAGATAATATCATAGGATAAAAGCTACTAGAATGTGTGGTGTCCAAAGATAAATTCTGATAAGATATATAGGAAAATTTAGCCACTAGAAGAAATATGTGGCATCCAAATTAAGATAGAACCACTTCTGCAATTTAATTTCTAATATTAAATATAATAGGATGAAGCTACTAGAAGAAATATGTGGCATCCAGATTAAGATAGAACCACTTCAATCGATCTACGATCACACATGGTGGTGTACCGCTGGTTTCCGTCCCCTGAGATAAGTCACCGCTTCACTCATTCTTTTGACTGGGTTGTCACTTAACTTACGGACAAGACTTAGGGCACCCTCATTTGTCTGCGGCAGCTGATTTTGATTTTTCGTATCAAGCTCCTGGTATGGTTTAGACATAACAAAAAAATGTTATAAAATTTTCTCTCAGGTTTTCTTATGTTTCTTAAAATCATTGTACGTACATGAACTGCATAAAAATTCTATTAAAAAGCTACTGAAATTTATCAGAATAGCAATTTGAACAATTGTTAGCATAAAGTAAGAAAATAATGAGCATCAAAAAGTAGACATTCTGAATTAATTCAGAATGTCTACTTGTTGATGTTCATATGTGGGCCTGATATCAATATTAAGAGGTACAAGATTAATATGTTACAAACAACTGTACAATGGAAGGATATTTAAAGAAAAAGTAACTTTGCATCATTTCTTTCATAAATCAAATATATAATTTAATTGAAAATGAAGCAGCTGGGTCTTAACTCTTCAAATTATTAACTTTCATAATTTTATATTACAACATTTTTGTACATGCTAACTCAACTTGATTTAGATTCCAACTGATTCGGAAATCTTCTGTGGATTAAAACATCCCCTCTTAAATAATTTGTTAAATAAAAATAGACCCAGCATGCACAGATAAGAATCAAATACTTTAAAATTACATCACTTCAAATTGAATCCAACAGTTTTCTTGTCTAAAGATTCCTTTGAAACTTTCAGATATAATCAATAATATCTCAATTTAAAAAATGCCCAAAGTCATATATTTCACTCAAGAACAAATAAATCAAAGCAAAATGATATTTATAAAAAAAAACATGAAATTCTACCAATAAAACAAAACTTCATACTTTCTGAAGCTTCTCCATCATCCATTTGCAAGTCACAGCAATTATGGTGAAAACGTAAGTTAAAATCATCTTAAAGTTCATGAGAAGTACATTTCACAGAAAAATGTGATTCAGTCATGCCAGCTCCATTCATATTACTATAGTCACTCACTGACTCTAATTGAGCTGTTTAACTTAAACTTCAAATAAATTTGTTTTGTCCTTCAAACTTTACTCATGTCCATTATTTCAATCTCCATATATCTTGAACACATGCAGTCTGCGAGTGAAAAATTAAGTCAAAAGAGAATTCCATCACAAACTATCTGTCTGTATAATTTTAAGTTTTCATGACATGAAATGACATTCTATAAACTAAGTAATCTCCCAATGTAATACTGACAGTTAAATATCACAGATCAAGATCCAATAAATTGAACATACACGTACAGCTCTCCAAGGAAATTCCAGAATCACTTTTTTTGTAAGTCCATGAGTTAATGAAATTTTGATTAAATTCTAGCTATTATGCCTAATGAAATTAGACTTCCCATAAAATCTGTTGAAATTTCAATCCAACATATATCCACAATGAAAAAATTCAGATTTAAAACTTAACTTGTCTCTTTCCTTTCCCAAAAAAAAACATGAAATCCGGAAAGAACAAAGCACAGAAAAATCATGGAGCACTAGATTTCAAGCAATAAATCTCAATTACGAAAACAAAACAAAGAAGCTATTCTTTTAAAGAAAAACATCCCAATTAACTTTGAAAAATATATATTATGAACCTATTTGCAGAGTTAAGAAACCCCCGAGCAGAGCAGTCACTTAGCGTTAGGAAAAAGTCGGAAAGATCTTCCTCACTCGATTGTAACAGATCACGTAACATGGCAGCAAACACAAAAAGAACATTATCTTAAAAACTTTAATACTTATCATCACCTGCTTGTTAAAATCAAATCAAAAAAATTCTTACTGAGAGAAAATAAACACATAGGGCTGCTGTCTTGTTTTAAAGAAAAAAATAAACAGGGGATATTTAAAGTGCAAGTGCACTTTTTTTGAAATATTTGTGTGTTAAGAATGTGTTAATTAACTGATTGTTGCTTACAAAAAAAAATCTCTTAAAATAATTTTGAAATTGTTGTATCTGTAGATATAGATATCTGGTGAACAAAATTGGTGAAGAAATTTTTAGAAGTCTTAAATGTTTTGCACCCCCCCCCCCCCCAAGAATTAGCAGGCTCTCTTTTTTAAAGTATTTGAGGCAGCTAGAGCTTAATTAAAAGGCCTGCATGTTTAAAAAATTGTCTGTATGTCTTCTCCCAACAGACGGCAAAGATGTAAAGATGGTATCTTCAACTCATTAATGACAGTTTCTTTCTAGTTGAATATAATATTGTAAATCTATATGTACATGAAATTACTTTAGGCCATGCATCTTTAAAAGTTATTTGCTGGGCACTTCAAGTGATATTATCTCAATGAAAGATATTAATTACAGAATGTTAAAACTGAATGAATTTGATGAGTGTGAGTTTTCATAATTTCTGAGTTGTGTGTGATCTTTGATAGGTGCCTCTAAGTCACATTCACATTTGGAATTAACAATGACCAAACTGACTGCATATATGTTACATGTATCATATATTTATTTTAGCTCACAGTGGCCTGGTGTATCCCTTAGAATACCTCAATGACAATAGGGTTCTACCATCCCTTCAAGCACCTCCATATCACTGTGACTAAGTGACTAACCTGTGCTACTTTCTCGGACACATTGTGCTTCATATTGGCGACATTAGACAGGAAGATTGGTCCCCGGTTATCTTTGCCTGGTCCCCCCTCCTTGTCCGTGTGTAAATCTCCGTCCAGATCGTTCATGCTGTCCGTGAACTTTGTGCGATGCTTGGCGAGCTGGGAATCGCTGGAGGCTTGGTTGATGACGTTGGCTCTGAACAGATTCCCCATCCCCCCTGAAAAGAGAACCTATTTATGAATCACAGGACTGTTACGATTTTTTTCCCCCCATGCAGGCCATTCAATCCCTTAGGGTCTGGGATTTTTCAAACTTCTGCTGCTAAAAATAGTCAACATTCACCTCATACATGTATATGAAAGTTTTGGAGAAGTATAGTGTTTCGAAAAAAAAACCTGCTTGCTTACAGACAGACAGACAGACACTTTCCTAAATGCACAACTCTTCTGCTCTCTGTCTGTGATGCTAAAAATGAGTTAAACATATTTTGTTTTGTTTTTGGTTTTATATTTAATTTTTTTTTTTTTTTGGTTTGTTTGTTTTGTTGGAACATTTTAGTTTGCCTTATATGTTACAAAATGTGTACTGTTCAATTAAGCAAAGAAAATTCACCACTTTTTCAAAGGAAAATTCAGGGTATTAATTTAAAATATTACAGCAACTATAATAAGTTTTAGTTCTTTGTGTATATACAGCCAAACTTTAAGAAACAATAAAATTTGTTTAATGATCGAGGTATTTTAAAATTTAGTATTTACAATTTTAAAAAGATTCCTTTATCAACTTTATTTTTAAGTAAAAACAAAGGCTTAAATTTTTGTTTTATGTTTTGTTTTCCATTTGATAAGGTTATCCAAGTTTGACTGTATAAAGTGTATTATTTTCTATCACTCAATTAAATGTGTGATATATTCAACTGAGCTGAAGCCCTGTAAGTTTGGAGTCTTCAATGGTGACTTTTAGTACATTTGTTAAAGTGATGTAAGTACTCAATAGAAGCCAGTTGGTTTTAATGTCTAAAATATAAGGCTATAATAGGTTATTGGCATTAGTATGTAGGAGGTTTTAAGATGAAGATGGAAGAGTTACAGAGAATCACATTCATTAAAAATCCTTTGTGAATGACTTTTTTTAATATCAAACAAACACTACAGTTTAAAGAATACAATTTTGTACATTTTTGTACATTGTATCTTTAAAAGTGCCAAGAAAGATAACTTGTGTTGTCATCAAAATTGTACATGAGTCATGATTGAGTTATCTCTCTTTGACTAAATTCTTTCTTTTTCTCTAACTGCAAAATATGCACAGATCAAACCGATTTAAGAAGCATTACATGCTATGAACACGATTTTCAAATGAAGATAAATTGTAAATGCATATGAGGGAAAATGGAAATGTTGAAACATTTGCCTATCAGAATGAAATTCTCTGCAATTCTCTCGTTTTACTGCTTTGGGGTGGGGAGGGGGTGGGGGGTGGAACAGAAAAAAAAGCCAAACGGGGTACAGTCGGTCCTTCCTACTCACATGACCCTATCGTATTAGCCCGCTCACGTCGATGTTTTCTCCGTATAAACCCATCTGCAAGAAAATTTCGTCTAAATTGACAAGTCATATCCCTATGCATACATGAATAGTGCTGTTATGTACTATTCTGTTGTGAAAACTTGAAGAAAAAAAAATCTTTAGTTCTTGATTTCCATCATTTATGCATCAAGTATGAAATTTTTTTCCTTCTTTTTTGTAAGTCTTAACATCAAATTTAATTTTCTCACACAAATAAAAGGGGAAAAACACCTGAAAACCCATTAACTTGGAAAAAGCAGCAAAATACGATACAAATGTTAGTTAAAAACTGTCAACTAATTTTGGTTTTACCTAGGCAGCCTACACAAATGTTTAAAATTAGCTGCAAAAGAAAAAAAAAATTCAAACAAGCAGAACAACCCCATGCTGTAGTTGCTAATTGTTTCTATGTAAACCTGTGTTGGCTCAAAGATCATCATTACAAGAGGCCCATGGGCCACATCGCTCACCTGAGTAACTTGGGTGATGCAGATCTTTACCAGATTCCCCCTCTTGCTATACCAATCATGCCCAACAACCCCCTTCCCTTTTTTATTTAAAAACTTTAGAATCTACACTACCCAAGGATGCTTCCACATAAGTTTCAGCTTTCCTGGCCCAGTGGTTCTTGAGAAGAAGATTTTTAAAGATTTGTTCTATATATTTCTATGTAAAACTTGGATTCCCTATTTTGGCCCCGCCCTACCCCCGGGGGTCATGATTTTAAAAATTTAATATCTACACTACCCAAGGATGCTTCCACATAAGTTTCAGCTTTTCTGGCCCAGTGGTTCTTGAGAAGAAGATTTTTAAAGATTTGTTCTATATATTTCTATGTAAAACTTGGATTCCCTATTGTAGCCCCGCCCTACCCCCGGGGGTCATGATTTTAACAATTTAATATCTACACTACCCAAGGATGCTTCCACATAAGTTCCAGCTTTCCTGGCCCAGTGGTTCTTGAGAAGAAGATTTTTAAAGATTTGTTCTATATATTTCTATGTAAAACTTGGATTCCCTATTGTGGCCCCGCCCTACCCCCGGGGGTCTTGATTTTAACAATTTAATATTGACACTACCCAAGGATGCTTCCACATAAGTTTCAGCTTTCCTGGCCCAGTTGTTCTTGAGAAGAAGATTTTTAAAGATTTGTTCTATATATTTCTATGTAAAACTTGGATTCCCTATTGTGGCCCCGCCCTACCCCTGGGGGTCATGATTTGAACAATTTAATATTTACACTACCCAAGGATGCTTCCACATAAGTTTCAGCTTTCCTGGCCCATTGGTTCTTGAGAAGAAGATTTTTAAAGATTTGTTCTATATATTTCTATGTAAAAATTGGATTCCCTATTGTAGCCCCGCCCTACCCCCGGGGGTCATGATTTGAACAATTTAATATCTACACTACCCAGGGATGCTTCCACATAAGTTTCAGCTTTCCTGGCCCAGTGGTTCTTGAGAAGATTTTTTAGTGACCCCACCCTATTTTTGTCTTTTCTTGATTATCTCCCCTTGTAAGAGGACTTGGCCCTTCATTTTAACAATTTAAACTCCCCTTCACCCAAGGATGCTTTGTACCAAGTTTGGTTAAAATTGGCCCATTGGTTCTTGAGAAGAAGTCGAAAATGTAAAAAGTTTACAGACGGACGGACAGACAGACGGACGGACAGACGGACAGACAGACGGACGGACGACGGACAAAATGTGATCAGAAAAGCTCACTTGAGCCTTCGGCTCAGGTGAGCTAAAAACTATATCCAAATAATCATTGCATGTGCTTCAGCTTTACAGCAGCCCCCCTGGCTGAGCTTATCGCTACACACCTAACACCATTTCAAATCTTCTGAATTAAGTTTTAAATGAATTGATCTTTTGAATTTCACATTGTGATTTAAGTCTGTCAAGATACAAAATATCTGTTCAACCCCCCCCCCCCCCAATAAACATGTGTTACAGTAAACAAATCATTTAAAATTTGGAAAAAATAACTGCCTGCACTCTCAAACATGTTTTTTTTTTCTCTATGCAGCTAAGCTACAACATTCAATGTCTGGATCACATACAACACACAATATCCCACTATATAGCTGCAATATCCCAGCTGGACAGCTACACACATAATAACAAAATAAAATCAACAAGGCAGCCCACCAAAATATCTATACACTAACTGCTGCTTACAGTCAAAAACTTCACAATGTTTTATCATACATCCACATGGGATCTGTACAAAAACAGGAACCTAATATCTACACATGTGCAATAGGAGAGATTAATTATAAACATAAAGAATATTTTATATAATGATACTTTTTTTCACCCTCTATGACATCAAAATATTTTAGATGATTTTGAATTAAATGTTATAAACAGCGCTTGTTGTTAACCATCAAATGTAAGACAGTGTGAATTAAAATTGAATTTTGGCATCTGAACTCCAATAATTTGTATATTCCATATAAATTTTCATCCAAGTGATTGGAAACTTAATTAACAATCATTTTCTTGTATTTTTACCTAAGTACCCCAAACCTTAATATGTATCTTAAATTAGAAGAGTTTTTTTGTCAATCGCTTCTAATTCTAGATAACAGTTAAGGTTTAATATTTTTCTAATGTCCAATAATATGACAAGCCTAAAATTTTGGTCCTCTCAGCAAAACATTAAACACAGGGAATTCTGGGTACCTACCCATTGAATTGTGGGAGTCTGCCTTGGGAACTCCTTGTTTATCCAGCGCCTCCATTGACGACGCGCGTCTGGGGATTCCCGCTTTATCCTGTGTCTCCCTCTCCATGTTCCTGACCTGTGCAGGTGGGGAGTTTGGGGGGAGAGACCCCCGGGGGACGGGGAGCTGGGGTGGGAAGTCATCACGGTCTGGGTCCTCAGGGTCCTGAGATCGTAGACTGATGCACTTAGTCTTACAATTGATGTCACGACGAATGGAAGGGAGGCGGAGCTTAAAACTTCGATGTCGACCTGTCAATAAATGATATGTACACATAATAAATTTAAAACCATTAAATTAAAACTGGAAGTAAGGATTTAATATATTATATGTCAATATTGGAAGAAGATGTGTGTATAATAAAAATTTTGTTAATCAGACACAGATGATGAAGATTTTTGATTTTTGACCTTGACATTTCACCTTGACCTGACATGATGCTGCAAAATGACCTAAAGTATCAATTCCATAACAAAAGATTCTGAATTGATATTTTCATAAAAGTATAATACCCAGTAATCATTCTAAAACAAATGGAGAACAAACAAACAGATACAAAAACACAGCATGCTCCCATTAATTGATCTTTCTCTCTCTCTCTCTCTCTGTAAGATACATATAAAAATAAGTTAAAGCTTAAAGGCAAAAATATTACTTGAGAACGTGAACTTCTAATTGAATTGACACTTTAAGCAAGGCGCAAGGTTGAGTTTAATTAGTATAAACAGCCTATTATACGTCCCGACATCTTGCATCATTCACAGCTTAGTGATTTCAACAAAAGGTTAAAGTATTTGTTCTTTTGCCAACGATACAATTGATTTCTTAATTCTTTCATATGATTTTAGCTCTAGGTGTTTTATACCCATATCATTATAAGTTCCTGAAACAAACTCTGATCTTCGTGAAATATTGGAAATGTAGCTTTCCTTTATTTTTCTGATTTCTGACCTTAAATCAACCCCTCTAATCCATCTTGCTGTTATGAAAGGATGACTTTTTGATTATTTCAAATCCATATTCACCTGTTCACTTATCAAAAGCTGGCTTTAGTTTTAGAGAATATACATTATCTATAACGTGTACATCTCTGATACAGAACTTTAATTTGTATTAGTAAATCATTACTCATGCAATTTTGTTGATATCGGTGAATGAAATATTTTTTGGAGAAAGAGAAAAATTTTAAGACAAGTCATATGATGTTTCGTAAAATATCAGTATACCTGCAGCTGACTGACTACAACATCACTTACTGTAGTTAACAAATTTTTCATAACAATTTCAGGTGAAAATTTTTCATCTTTTTTGTATTTAAATATCAGACACAATTTAAAGTCAATTCAACTATAGAAACATGGGGAAATCTAAGTTCAAAATTGGTCAAAATTTTACTTTGAACTATACAAGTATTAGAATGATTAGAAATATAATGTAAATCTACACTTAATCTCAGATTCTTGTTTTTTAACCTCAGATACGCCATATATAGCTTTGAATAAAGGTCCTCTAAGAAAATATTAATTAGTACTAAAAAATATCCATCAATATCTCCATTGTGAACTGACAGAGGCAATCAAAGGGAAAAGAAAAATGATTAAAATCCCTACATGCCCTTTATAGACGAGAACAGTTGGGCACCCGTAATGAACGCTGCACGCGAGATAGCCATATATGACAAATATATTTCCTGTATTTCTGATATTCCCCATTCAATAATCTTGGCAATTCAGACTTTATTAATTTCCTATGAAATCTACCGAATTTTAGAAGCAAAGAAGAGGAGCATGACATCAAGTAGCCATACAGCTTTTTATTACCGAGTAATGACGATAATGAAACGTCATTAGCTCCTGTCTAATATTCACTGATTATGTTTCCTGGGGTATCATATATAAATGCCAAAGGCAGTGAGTAGACAGACCCTGGCATCATCTAAAATCTGAACACTCATCAAATGGTACTCAAATCTAAGACTTCGGTATTTTAACTGAGTGGCACAGTGGTTAGAGCGTCTTCTCTGCAAGTCGCAAAGTAAGGAGTAGATCCTTATGTTGCGGGTTGGGATGTGGAGACCTGTCATATAAACCATGGTCCAGTATCGCGGTAGGTGCTGGCACAAAAAAAGATCCCTCACTGCTCAATGGCTGTAAATGCCGAGAATAGGACAAAATTTGCAGCTCTCACGGGCAAGTGGTGGCGTCTCCATATGAGTGAAAAATCCTCGAGAGGGATGTTAAACAATATACAATCAATCAACAAGAGGCCCAGGGGCCACAGCGCTCGATTATTCTCAGATCAGAAATGAAAGTTTACTGAGTTTCCATTACAGCTTTTTACTCCCCAGGGGATCATGATTTGAATAAACTAGAATCTACACTACCTGAGGATGATTTAATAATTATAAATATCACTAATTATGGCTTTGAAGTACTTGAGAAGGAGATTTTAAAAGATTTCCCTAAATATTCTTATGAAAAACTTTGATCGACCATTTTGGCCCCTACCTTCCCCCGGGGGTCATGATTTGAACAAACTTGAATCTACACTACCTGAAATGATTCCACATTAGTTTCATCTTTTCTGGCCCAGTATATTCCTTGAGAAGAAGATTTTTAAACTTTGATCGGCCATTTTGGCCCCACCCTACCCCCGGGGGTCATGATTTGAACAAACTTGAATCTACACTACCTGAAATGATTCCACATTAGTTTCATCTCTTCTGGCCCAGTGGTTCTAGAGAAGAAGATTTTTAAACTTTGATCGTCCATGCCATTAATTTTTCTCTAATTCATAATTATCTCCCCTTGGAAAAGGGCGTGGCCCTTCATTTGAACAAACTTGAATCCCCTTCACCCAAGGATACTGTGTGCCAAGTTTGGTGGAAATTGGCTCAATGGTTCTTGAGAAGAAGATGAAAATGTGAAAAGTTTACAACAACGACAACGACTAAGACAACAACGACAGATGTTAAACAATTTACAGAAAAGCTCACTTGAGCCTTCGGCTCAGGTGAGCTAATAAAACCACAGATAGGACATTTCAATATGAGGGTTTGTACATGTGTAGAGAGAGAGCAAACTGGTGACACCTTCAGTGTGCTCCTAACCATGATCAGGCAAATGGAGAAATCCATATCTTGGATAGAGCATTCAAGTATCTTTCGTGAGCTGCCAGTAAATAATTATGATTTATCAAACTTTTATTCATAGGACATTATTATGACAAAACTTTCTTTTAAAAAAAAAAATAGCTTTAACTTTCATTGAGGACAGAAATTTGCTCATGACCTTATATATCTAAGAGAAAGAGAGAGTATCAAAACAACAAATGAAAATCTCAGCCATCAGCAACCACTTTACACTAGTATAACTGTCCAAAGTTTGATACAGTGCCAGACCCCTGAGAAGCAGTACCGGGGCTCCTCAGACAGTATAATAAACACCTGTTCTTACAACTCCTGCAGAAATATTCACACTTCATTTATTGTGTTAGGCCCTACTTCCTGCCTGCAGTCAATATAAACATGCCGAGTGTGTAATACGTCAGGGGGATTCCGTTTTATATTCACAGCTTTCTGTGTATTAGTTTTTTTTTCTCTGCTACATAGAATCGGGATGTGTTTAAAAACAGCTGTAGTTCTTTATAAACACAAAAAAATGTTAAGCTCTGCCACAAGATTCAGGGTCAAATCAGACCTTACAGCTTACATATTCTGTGATTATTTATAAGGTTGGAAAACATATTTCTTGAAGGTTGTGACTTATAATACAAAATCTGGGTTTTCATTTTTTAACACACTTGTCAAATTCTTATAATCTTTAAATCAGCGTCTGGATTCTTTTTATCAAATTATAAAAAAGCAAATCAAAAAATGAAACAGTTAATATATGATACAAATAATTTTAAAATCAAAACAACTAGAAATTTTTACTAATTCTGGATAATGTCTGACTGTGATCAACATGATGAATGCAAAAACAAGAGGCCCATGGGCCACATTGCTCACCTGAGGCTGAGTATGCATTTTTGGTAGGAAAACGCAGAAATCAGTGCAGTAATGAAAAGCTTAAATATAAAAGACATCTGACAGGGGGATGCTTTGAACAAATGTGAATCGACACTACCCATTGCACTAAAAGGCATATGGAATGTTGAAACATATTTTAGAGTACGTGTTTCATAGAACATTTTGTGATGTGCATTTTCTTCCAACTACATTACAAAAGGACACTATTTACATTTCAAACACATCATGTTAACATCCTGCATCATAATTCTGTATCCTATTAAAATCAATTTCCACACTGTGTGTTTTTCACCACTTGAAGATTTCAGGGAGCTTTTTAGTTAATTTTGTTTTAGGTAAGCTAAAAATAGCTTTCTAGAAACAGGAAAAATTGATCCCCCCCCCAGATGTTATGACAATATAAAATTAAAGATCATCCCTCCCCATGTTAATCATTTCCAAACTAAAAGCAGACAATTTCAAAAACTCTTCTTTGTGATCTCCATCCCAATTGGATTTGTCAAAAAGAAATTATTCAAATTTCTCAAAACTCAGTTCTCAAAAAAGAATTTAATCAGTGGTTTTGAAAATGTGTTCACAAATGCAAAGGTTAAACTAAAATCTTACACCCCCCTCATTACATTTCTTTAAGACACTTACTTATGTTGTTATTTTTGAAATTTTTGGCAATTTCATTCTTCAGGGGAGCATCCGTTATGTCTTCGTAGTTGATGATGAACATAATGATTTCTCCCTGCTCATTTTTGACAGGTGCAATGAGAACACTGCATAGAAACAGGCTGCCTAGAAAACAGAAGATAAATATATTATAGTATTACAAAGCATCAATGGAAAATGATTTATTACCATTTTTAGGAGTACTTATAGTCAAAGTATTTCAATAAAAATATATACAACACAATGTCATACACTATCATGAAGAAAATTTCATTCTGAAAATATGATTTCCATAAATACTACTATCTTTTTAAATTTTAATCAGTGAAAAAAATAGAGTTTTTGTCACACTAGATATATATTCTAATTCATTTAAAGCAAAAGCATTGTTAAGTACATTTGTATACGAAATACAAAAATCCTCTTTCATGGCTGTCCAAGAATCAAGAGACCCACAGGATGGTGAATTTCCCCACCTATATTGACATCACTTGGATATTCTGGTATTCCCCCTAAACTCTCTGTTAGGTTAACCTCAGGCACCCTTCTACAATTTTGTTATTTCCATGCTATTTCATTTTTGTTTTTCTGTCGCCTGTGTGACCCAGTGGCTAGGGTCTCTGTTCTATAGTCGCAAAGTCACAGAGGAGTTGATCCTTATGTCACAGGTTCGAATCCCAATGTGGGACGTGGAGACAGGTCCTTCGGAAGAGACAATTTAAACGGAGGTCCCATTTCACAGTAGAAGTTGGCATGAAAAAGATCCCTCCCTGCTCAATGGCCCTGAGTGCCCTGTGTAGGACAAAATTTGCAGCTCTCCACTGGCAAGTGGTGGCGTCTCCATATGAGTGAAAAATTCTTAGAGGGACATTTAACAACACTACAGCTTTTCTTTTAAGAAATTGCTTTTCTTAAGTTAAAATGCACTATTGATTGCACACCAAGCCAACATCTAAATTTTGAGTGAATGACAGCAAAAACATTAACTTACTAGATCAACTGAAACATTAAGACAATTTACGAAAAAATCAGATGCATTATCAGCATTAATTTTTATGCTATATTGATTGATAGAGCCTGCAGCTAGCCTAGCAAATTAAAAGTGCAGCAACTTTTTGATGAGCGCAGATTAGAACATCTCCTCAACGAAATTGTCAATCTCCAGAAAAACTATCAGCGCGATCAGCGGGAAATTTACTGTTTTCCTCGTAAACGCGACTATGAAATAGATTGCTTTAGCCCCCTTTTCTTTATCACCATTAACTGATTGACATAAAATGATTCATTTTCTTAGGATAAGACTAAACATTTTGTCATAAAATTATTTTCCAAAATTGAAAAATATCTATATTGTAAATTTCCTAAGTTGTCATTTATTTCCATATTTTTTTCTTCAACGAAAAGCTGAAGATATTGTCATTCATAATGGCATTTACAGCAGAAGATCTTATTTTTTATAAATCCAATATCACCAGCATCTTTCTCAAACTGACAGCAAATCTATCAAGAATGACAGATACATATTTAAGTAGCTTAATTATTCTTTTACTGGTAGCATATTGTTACTAAAATTCTGAATTCATACTTGAAGTTTTCCATTTCTTTTCAATTACCGTATCAAGACCACTAGAAAACCACTTGTTTATGGAGTGTCTGTAGTTAATGTATACACTATAACAAGTACAGTCAAATCTCATTATTTTGAACACAATTAGGACTAATATTAGAAATTTTGAAATATCTGGAGATTTGAGATATTAAGGGTAAAATATAATAAACAAAAGGTAATGGCATTGCTAGAGACTTCCAAATCTCTTCCCTTAATACATGTTTAATTGGATATCTGATACTTTTCATCCAAAATAGTCTAAATAGATGAAGTTTATGTTCCAAGTCGTAGGACTGTGAATCTGACCTTGACCTTTGACTTTTCAATAAACTTAACAAAAAAAATGTCTCCTTTTTCGTTAAAGCACAATATCCTGGCTTTAATCTTCATTTTAAATCATGCAAACACATGTGCAGCAAATGAACTTAAGATCCCCCTTTCCCTCTTAACTATCTCCCGATCGTGTGAACTAATCCACCATTCTCTCAGAAAACTGTGAAACATCCTCATATAAATGTCATGTCACTGGAGTATTTATACTCAGGCTTTATGACACTTATAAGCCATAGAATTTCCTTCTAGAAAGATGATAAAGGAATCATTAAATGTCATGCAGTCTTCAAATGAAGTTGATCCTTTGTTAGACTTGGATTAGAAATCTTTTAGAGCTCTCCAGTCTTGGCTCTGGAGGGTTACAATGGCTTATTCAATTGTGGCAGTCAGCCGGGTTTGATCGCCAGTGGCCGGATAGCTCAGCTGGTAGAGCACCTGACCAGAGATTCAGGGGGCCAGTTCGAATCCCTGTATGATCCGCTGCATTTTCTCTCGTTACACAATGAACATTGTATTGTTAAACAAGGTCAGCTTTAATTAATATTAATATCACCAGCCTCTTCCATGAGGACTGCTTACAAAAACAAGACTTGAAAGCCCCAGTAAAGCAGATAAATATATGGCTCAGGTTAGTTTTTCATTCCCCAAGGGGCAAGGTAATGTCACAAGCAAAAGTGTTGGTATAAATTAAATATATGAAATTCCAAGCATCAAATGTTCAAAAGTTATGAAGGAGGTTGAGGTCATTAAAAAGTTGAGCAAACTTCAAGGTCAAGGTCATATGGTTTTTTAAGTCAGTACCTACAGAAAGGTCTTGATGCAAGAAATCTGGGAACTGTTTAAAAGTTTATGGTCAATTGCAAAGAAAAGGTTTGGTTAAAGTTGCTCAAAAGTAGCAAGTCAAAATCCAAGATCATTAGGAAACATTAGCACCCCAAAAAGCTGTCTTTTCATAAGGAACAGACATTTTAATTATAAAAGCCCTAGAATCAACCATTTGAAAGTTGTAATCAAGTTTTTGTAGACAAATTAACAGACAGCAACCATGCAAACAGGCCAAAATCCACATGCCCCAAAATATCGCCAGACACCACGGGCATAAAATTTTCATTTAAAGACGTACAACACACTGGGGGAGATAACTCTTGCGATTTCAATTGAACGTTTGACGTGACGTCAAATTTAACGTCAAAAATAAAGATGTATATCAATCATGAAAGAAAATTGGGATATGGGGCTTTGGCTGTGATTGGTATTTTTTAATTAACCCGATTAAACTCCGTAAAAAGCAAGACATAAAATACCATCCCTTAATGTTTATTTCATTTCATTTCATATACAATTAGCTGTATTTTTGATCAAAGCGCAGCATTTTTTTTTTATTCTGAAAATTTTATTTTACATTGCCGAAATTCTCATTATGTACAATTGGCTATATTACATTCCGGTTAATGGTCTTCATTACAATTTGTGCATTTACGATATAAATATTATTTTTCTTCTTTAATTAAATAAAACAACAATAAACAAACAAAAAACTTTTTACAATGTAAAATCGATGTTGTTCTTGAGGAACAACTCTGAAAATGTAGGAGATGTTTATTTTCCTCCCTTTATTCATGGTTTTCCACAAAATCAGATACATTTACAGCAAGACCTGATATATCGGAGAATTGAATACTGTAGACCTCATATACACAATGTAAGTATAGAATTGAAAAGAATTGTTCACTTGTACTGAAATTATCTGATTTATGAATATCCTATTGCAGCAAATCGTTTGACTTTCTGTCAACAATGTCGGTTCGCATTTCCTCGAATCAAAACAAAACGTGGCCTATAAGATTTTGAAAAATATCAAAGTGCGATTTGATATAAATTGAAATAGATGAAGAGAGTTTAATGTTTGATATTTTGAAGTTAATGTGGACAACAAATTTTTATTTTAACTTTAGAAGCGACGACATTGAAAGAAATGCGTACAATATCATGAGGGGTGTACATCTATGCAAATGTCGATGTATCCCCACGGCCACATACTGTCTCGTTTGAAATAATGACATGAAAGAAACTACAATTGTTCCATTTATATCACAGGAGAGTTGAACATACACCATTTTTTAATGAATAAAATTAAAGAAATAAAATCAAAAATCAACATATTCAAGTTCAACAAAACTTGATTGGTATCAAATATGGAATGCATAACGCATACATATATGGAGTTTCCTTGATACATATAAAAAGAGTAGTCAATGTTTATTTATTCTGCATTCATGAATTTAAAAACTAATGCATACCTCCGGGATTCAAATGACGAAATACCACTTTATTTGCACTGTAAACGACGTTTCGTCAAACGCTAATGGTCTGCGACGCAAAAAAGGAAGGGGTGGGGGTGATAGGGGTACTCAAAAATTACCTAAAAATCTACATTTAAATACGCTTTACATATGAGAACTTTTAAATTTGTAAGTTAATATATTTTTGAAGCAAAAGCAGTATTCCAATTTAATTTTTTTAATGTGTATTTGTAGATTCATATAACAAAGTGATCGACCACGGTCTGAATTGAGAAAGGGGGAGGGGGTTTTTCCGCTATTAATCAATTTAACTGGTCGTAAAAAATTATACAAAAAATCATGAAGATTATTTTTAAAGCTACCTGTTTTTTACCAAAATTAAACGACAGGTTTTTTCACAAAAAAATTTTGAATTTGAAAAATACGCAATTTTCAAGGCTTAGATAATTTATAGTTTTTCAGTTTAAGGTATTTAAAAATTATTTTGATGATATTTATATCAAAAAGATGACTATGTTTTTGTGTTAAATGGTTAAAGGAATAAGCCAATAAAATTTGACATTTATATCTAACCTGGCTTTTTTGAAAATCAAGGTTTAAGTAGTTCATTGATTAAAAATTTTCTCTCCTTGTAAACAACTAAAGGGCGGTAACTTTTGGAAGTTCCTGTCCAAAAACCACTCGAACGATTTTGTCCAAAATGTGCATACCTGCAGTAGATATAGTCATGTACTAAATATACAAAAATAACGAAAATTAAACGACAGGAATTTTTTGGGGTAGGTGTGTTGTACATCCTTAAGCTTATTTTATCAGCATTTATTGTAATATACTAATTTATAAAATATGCACTAAGAAATACTCATCTTTTTATCAAGGTTTTTAGATAGTTGCAAGGTTTTGAGATAGTTGCAGATGTGTGCAGCATATAACCTTGCAACTGCTCGTCTATAAAAGTGGAATGCATGGACAACCAGATCGAGAGCTAACACTGTCATTAAACCAATTGAAAAAAGTTAGTTTATTCATATACCTTAAATAACACTTGAGAACAGAGTAGGCTAATAAACAAGGGAAAGAGTCATCTGTCTTAGAGATGCAATAGTCTGCTCTATTAGCATAATTAGATTTGACAAGATGAGGTGAAAATGACCATATAACAATTCTGACACTTCATACTTCCTATTAACACAATATTCAATTTACTCCTGGGACTGTGTATATCACTCCAAATGTCATGCTATGTCCAGACGTGTCAAACAGTCCATTTAAATGTTCACCTCCTCAGTGACAGAACAAGGAAATATTTGGAAGGCCATACAATCAATAATTTTTATGTCATCATTGAAATTTCTTGGATTTCTGTTGTTCAGCAGCTACAGAGTTGATGTAAATTTGTTTTTCGATATTAACCATTCCAAGATATCATCTTCTAGTGACATCTGGCTGCTAATCTAATGCTAGAGTTATAAAGGCAGCCAGAATGCTTATTTGTCATGACCTTGATGTCATTTTACGTATACATTTTACTTATGTCTTTCAGTTTTACATCAGATAAGGGGCCAATTTTGACACTTATTACATCCCATCCTTTGCATGGTATCCTTTATTTTTTCTCCTACTCCATAAGTTATGATCAACGTTATGCTCTCAAGATACATGGGCAAAAGTCAACAGATATGAAGTGTCAAAAATCAAAATTTAATATGTACTTCTCCATTTTTAATTTCATGGACAAGAAGGTTTTTACCATGTTTACTGTGATATACCCCTGGATAAATATATATATGCACTCCACTTAAATCTACAGTTGAACTTTGGTATCTCAGACACCGATATCTTGAATAACATGGATATGTCAGTGACTTTTTAGTCTCATGCTTAACTCTTAAGAATTTTCACCCTGAAAACTGTACACATATTTTTTTTAACGGGGTCATAATTCTGAGGAATCTCTCTTTTTGTTTATTCCACAAGTAAACAATTATGCAGATTTCCTAGACATTTTAAGCCTTACATATATATTAAGTACGATGGGACAATATTCCGCAGAAAATTTGTGACCATGTACATAGTGTAAATTAATACCACGCAGAAAAAAGAAAAAAAAAGAAAAAACTTCTATAAAACTGTGAAATCACAAATTTCAGGAAGGTTAAATTTTCATTGTTTTTGAGGTTTAAAGATCAAGACCGACGAATTCAGGTTCTCCACGAAATGTTAAATGTTACATACATAACTACTAAACAATTCCTCGACCATGAATTCAAATCACCACGAACCAAGAGTTTTTACTCAAACCACAAAAATTTGTCCCCACGAAAATATGTGATTTTTCAATATCTAAAATCCTTCAATAATTCTTTTCTCTGTCCAATCAAGTTCAATATAATGAGGTCTGACTGTATTTACTTTCGGTAACTGACTTACCATCCTTGCGTGTGTACATGACTTCCACCTGCTTTTCTTCCGTCCCGCGGAGGGCCTCCTTCATCTGCAGTATCGAGTACGTGCTCGTCGTGGGTCCGTGTAGAAACTCGCACAGACACGATTTCTGCATGACCTCCGCTCGCGAGTACCCGGTGAGTTCACAGAACCCATCGTTACAGAAGATGATGGGATAGGTCTCTATCTGAGCGTTGGCAATCACAAACTTCCTGTCTGGAAAAAAAGGAAGAGTTTATTAAAATTAACTTATTTACCAAACAAAAGTGATTGATCCCAGAAATCATTAATTAATGTCTGATGAAACCTATTTTTTTTTTTTTTTTTACAACTAATTTACATGTAATAATATTACAGTACTGTTGATTCCTAATTTTATCCAAAAACCTCATTTTATGAACTCTAGGACTTCTCGACCTCAGATTGTGAGATCATTTATTTGCAATTAGATTTTTTTCCCATGAAATTTAAGATTTTATCTTCTCTTTTTCAGCATTTTAGAAATAAGAGCGAATAATTTAATTTTACTTGTGGTGATTCTTTAATGCCAAATTATTCTTCGAAAAATTCCTAGCATATATACAGTAAAAAATTTTCATCACTATAATAATCTCAGTAGCATAATGGGGATACACAAGTATAAAACAATAATGAAAATACTCAGAGTACTTAAATCTATGCTGATTGAATTATGTGTTGAAAATTCACAAAATACTTGCATTTTTAGCAACAGGCAATATCACATGTATAGTATACATTACATTCTCCAATCAAAAGTAGCCCAATACAAATTAATAGAGATGAATTCAATAAACCATCCCATAAAAAGAATTGTATATTTTGATTTTTATAATTTATTTGTAGAAAGTGATTAAAACTTAATGCTTACTATTTGCTAATCTGTAATTATACATTTCACAGTAATGTTACACCATAGACTTAAAGACAAATCTGATTGACAAATTGTCCTTACAAACATATTTTTTTTTCTCAGTAAAACATTAGTTGCATCATCTAAGTTGATCTAGTATTAAGGAAACGGTATTGATCCTTCACAATATCTCTAGATGTTTTGATGATGTGTTCCAAAAAGATATAATGTCACACTTAATCAATAAATTCAAACTACAGAACAATCAAAAGAACCAATTTGCCATAAATCTGTCTCATTCAAGTGTTTGAATGCTGTCAAAAAACAGTAACTTTAGCCCTCTGGAGACAAACACTCTGCAGACCCTGATATGAAGCAGAATGGCTTTGATTGATGGGCACTGATGGACTGAAGTTCCTTTATACTTGTCCAATTCATGGCTAGAGACGTGCAGATTTATTGTGATATAAATGATTTCCATGGAAATGCTTCATCTAAGTACACACAAATGTTTCATTTTCTCTCCACTCTGCTCAAACATAATGTCAATCAGACATGCACAGATGAAATATATTTTTTCTGTACCAGTATATCGATCAGAACAATATGCTCTATACATTACTGTACAAAGTTGGAGCTGAATATTTATATGGTTTATAATAATACTTCATTAGAGAATTAATGACTATAAGCTGATGTTTAAACCTATAATCATATAATTAGGAAAACTTGTAATATGAATTGATTAGAATTAAAATTAGATCACTTTGATGGCTCAAATTTTCTTCATCAAATTTGACTTAATTATAATTTTGCAGTTCTGGAATTAGATACTCTTTTATTATATTCCACAATGTTTAATAGCTGTAGTAATAAAGCTATTCCACTAATGTCTTTTATCAATCATGTTTAAAAACAAATCTCAAACATAATCTAACACATCTAAATCTTAAAGGCATCACATAATATTAGCATATTAGCAAATTGATAAACAATTACTTATATTTTCAAAAATGAAATAGTTCAACACAACCATGATAACTATAGCTGCTTGTCAAATTGTATTTCAGCAAGTTTTTCCTCAAGGTCATGAGTAAAAGAAATGTTTTCAACAACCTCGGAGCTCCCTTCTTACTGGAAAGATTCTCTAAATGTGTGTAAAATATTGTGCACCAAGATTTCCTTACAGGCAATTCAGTTCTTTATAATTGAGATTTACTGTATTATAATTTACAAAACAAAGAAAAGCTGGAGACCAGCACCTTGAGGTTAAAATTGCCGAAGATTTTCACATTTATTATAATTAAACCGAAGTTTAAATTGTGTCACTCGATCCTCATCATAGGACATTCCTGAAAATATCCTTATCAGTTCTTTATGGAGCTTAACATGCTAAAAGATGCAACTATTTTTTTTCTGAATCTGTTAGAAAAGAAAAATTTAAATGACAATGCATTCAGTTAGACTTATTACTATAACGACCTTTGACTAATGGCTCATGATGAACAGATAAATAAATGGAGTTCTGACACACTCATTATATGTAGACAGTATAACTCCGAACAGGGTGTCAGATCAAACAGTTAGGATTATTAATTAATACAGTATACAGTCTAACCTGGTTAGCTGGAACTTGATTTGGCAAGAAACTTATATTTTGTATCAAAGGATTCTATGGATTCAGAAATAGAATTACAGTCAAGCCTGCTTAAAATTATCTTGAACTTGATGAGATGAAAAAAATATCATGGGTATAGAGAAATCTCAAGGATTAGGGTAAAATATTATAGTTTGCAGCTAAGTGTAATTTTATTAGTTTCATGTTACGTCATGATCTAGTTGATAGCTGCGCTCAAGATAAATTGTACACACCTCCTAACCGCAAGCTTTACGACTGAAACTTTCTTCTTATCCCTGATTGGTTGCTCGTGCAACAGACTATTTCCGTGTCAATGTTGATAATTTGAGTTGACCAATTACATGAATTGTTTATGCTGGATGCATCTGACGAAAAATATCGTGACTAAACGTAAAACTTAACACTTAACTGCAAACTATAATATATATTTGACCAATGACATTTGGTTGGAACTTCAAATTTACATTCTTTGCTGTATATATCCATATTACTCAAGAAATCTATGTTTAAGATCCATCCCAAGCTGAGGCCCAAAGTTTAACAATGTTAGCCATTCAGCATGCAAGACTTAATTTTCAACATAACCAAGCTAATAAACTGTTTGTCTGATTGTTAAATTCAGTTCGCAAAACTCTAAAGGGGATAAGTTTAGGAGTGTGGCACTAAAAACGTAACCCTTCTGCCTCTGTAAATTAATTTAGGGTTGTTTGTATGCAGGGGACTCGAGCATTCAAACAATAATTAATCACACCAAATTCAATCAGTTGCCATGGAAACCACTCCAATTTCCAGTGGATATTAATATAAGCCAATTTCCCCGGCTATTTTTGTTAAGGGCTGAGAAGAACAGTTCAAGCTTCAATGCTTTGGGATCCTAATGTTAACAAAGTTTAGATCTGCAAGAACAAGACTGACATCTAAAAAAGACTTTGAAGACGTGTCTGCGACAAGACATTTATATAATGATTCTGGTACAGTATACTTAAACAGAAATTTTCTTACACTTATATGATGAGGGAACATTTGGCGATATTGAAAATGGGTGAAGCTCTTATAAAATCATTACAATTCTAACAGGTGACCCATGGGCCACATTGCTCACCTGAGCACATCGGCTATGAAAAAGCACAAATCAGTTTAGTATTGAAAAGATTACTGGGAGGTGGGGAGGGGAGGCCCTGAATTTTATACTACTTGGAAGATACTTCCATTAATAAAGCATTTAACTTTGCTGTTCTTGAGAAGATTTTTAAAGATGTATTTTCCTATATTATATGTACTTAGTAAAAATTTGAATCTCCACCACTGTCCCATTTGTGGTACCTTCCAAAACTCCCAGGGGGTCATGATTTGGACAAATTTGAATCATCACTATATAAGCTAGGATTCTTAAAATTCTGTTTTTGAGAAGATTCTTTTCATCTTTTTTTCTTAGATCCCCCATTGTAGCCCCACCCTACCCCAGGGGTCAAGACTTGAACAATTTAATCCTGCATTCTTTTTTCAATCATGCATTTCTTTATAAGTTAGAAATAGAGTGATTTATATTTAAACATTCAAAAGAAATTCCAATCGTAAAAATAAAACCTAATAATTGTTTAATTAAAAAATTAATTTTGAACATTTAAAATTTTGAAGGTGCAGAGAGGCCTTCAGCTTCTAGCTTAATTAAACAATGTCTAGGGTTGAACATTGATCAAAAATATCTTACTGGTTCATTCAAAACACAGAAAGGAAAATAATGAAATGAGAAAATTCTATAATCCACAGTTCAAAATAATAATGTGAGTACTCCTGAGAAAGACTTAATATTTCATCAGCTGTTCATTGACCTGACAACAATGGCGTAGACATAAGAAAATTATTACCCTGAACTGTTTACACAACTAATAAACTTTATGTGCACACATTTATTTTCCTTTGTGTTAACTAAATTAATCCAAAGTAGAAAAGTCTGTTTATTTACGATGTGGAAAAGTAAATTCTTTTCCCGAGTCAGTCTTTGTTTAATTCGTTATTGAGTGACATTTAACATATTCGTTATACGAACATAGAAACAAAGGCTTTGTGCCCTGAAATTTACATACAAAAACTATGAGCCCCTAAATTATCAATAAATATTACATACAACTCAGTGTCATTAAATGACAAACATTGGGTTAAGAATTTTCTTAAAATACAATGTGTTTGCAGCAAAGAGTTTGCATACTTCACATATTTGTGCTTGTGATTAAGTTAATTGCCAAAGGTGATCGAAGTACAACCTGCTTGTTAACAATGAGTAAATGTTCATCTAAAAATACAATTTAACAAAGATTAGTTATAATATACCATATAAGCAGAATTTTTAGTGTCAGGATTTAATTTTGGCATTATTAGCAATTAAGGGTTATGAGATTGCTAAAAATAAACTATGTTTAATTTGTAATCATGGTACATGTAATAGCTTCTTTGGTGAGCACTTTAAAATCTATAAAATTACATCTCATTCTTGCTAAAAATAAAATACTATAATTTTTAAGGACACATCGCTAAATTTGTGTTCTAAAATTTCCTTTTTTAATGTTTATACAGTACTTAATTAATCTGAGGGTAGCACAATCGGATATATTGTACACTTTATATACAGTCATATGGATGCATCATAAGAACTCAATCTGTCAGAGGAACTGCAGGATTTGCCAATTTTTCTCATACTGTTGAGTC